CGTTTCACGCCAGCCTTTGTGCAAGAGAAAATGCAGCAGGCCTGGCAGCAGCAGCTCAGAGAGCGCGCTGCCAGTAAGCTAGGACACGCAGGATCCCAGGTGGACGCCCACGCTGCCACGAGAGTCCTCGCCAGCCCCACTTCAACCAAGCAAGAGCGGGGCAGTCTTCTAACTTTCCTGACGCAAGGCATCTGGACAGAGTCCAGGGCCAAAGACGCGGGGCACGAAATCGACGCCCAGCGCGAATGCGGCACCCCCAACGACTGCCTGCGTCATCGCTTGTTCCAGCGCCCCATCTCGCAGGAGGAGCGGGATAGAGCACTATCGCCAATCGAGCAGGATCTCATCCTCCAAGGACAAGACCCGCTGCTAAAACTCGGTTCCCAGCTCGGACCTGACTTTAACGTGCGTCCCCCGTGCGGAACAGGCCTGACGAATTGCCAGTTCTGGCGTGGCGATCCCGACGCCAACCTAGACGAAGCTTTCTCGGGGCCAGTTCACGTGGATGGCAGCTGCGACAATTCGACCCACCCAGCCTTCCAGTCGGCTGGATGGGCTGTAGTCAGCATGAGAGACGCAGCTCCATTCGCGATTTTGCCAGGCCAGGTAGGCAACCTGTACACCCAGATTTCGGATGTGGCGGAAATGCTCGCCACCATAGCTGCATGCTCCAATACGCCCTTAGTAACCCAGGCCCACACGGACTACAAAGGCGCGATAGATCTCTTTCAATCTCCTGGATATCCCAGGAAGAACCAAAACGCAGGGCTCAAGGTTCTGGCGGGCAGAGCTGTCGTTCCGCCGTCCTCCTGTCTCGTGAAGGCGAAAGCCCACCAGAATCTAACCCAGGAGTTGAACAGCAACGATGACTATGACCATGCGTTAGGTAACGATGCAGCAGACAAGCAACCGAGCGAGCTGCAGCAACTCTGTGTCAGCCATCCCCGTCGGAGCTGGATCAGAGTAGACTCGATCAAAGCATGTTGCGCCGTTTCCTGTTCTGCGTTGCCCGGGCCCCCCCAAAGTGGCCAGCGCTGGCCGCGAAAGCGGGAGCGAAGCCCCTGAGCCGCCCAGTAGGTAAGAACCCGCCCACGGGAGCCGCCTCGGCCGAATATGCCTGGGACCCTGGGGCCACCCCCCCTCCTCGGAGGCCTCCTCGCCTCCACCCACCTGAGCCCTCTAGGGCCTGGAGGCGAGCTCCACCGATGGGAACCGGTTCGAGGCACGCACAGTTGCACCCTCTGCCGCGTCAGGACCAAGTCCCAGGCCCAGTATCTCAAGCGTCTCGACGAAAAAAGCCCAGGGTATTGCGCGGGCCTCGCTTCGCTTGCGCAAAGCCCTAGAGGCCACCAGCTTCTGCTTTTCGGGTACGTGCTCAATTCGAGCACGGTGATTATTTGTCGTTCCTGCGGGTCCTATTCCGAAACAGGCACCCGCGGCCGTTTGTTCCAGGAGTGCCCGCGGGAACCGATGTCGAGCAATGCGAGAAACCAGTTAGCCCGCGCGCTTGAGCTAAGACACCCGAGGAGTGGAAGGGAATCCGCCCCTGTGTTTTCGCCTCCAGTGCCACTCGAGCAATTCTATCGAAGAGCCATCGAAGCTGAGCGTGCCGCCCCCGTGCAGCTGGAGCAGCTGCTCAGAGAGGCAGCTCAAGCCCAGGCGCAGACAGGCCCACACCAGGGATGAGGCTTGCCCACCGTCCTGGCATTCTCTACGCCAGGGGTGGGCAGTGCCGAGTCGTCCTGGCGTCGCCTCATTATCTGTGCACTTGTGCGCGCGTGCGAGCGCGCTCCCCGCACGCGTGTCAGGCACCCCGACTCAGGGGGAAAGGAGCGCTCATTTCGTCTTCCTGCGGCACTGGCCGCAGATACGCCTTGGCCCGATGCAGGTTCGATCTGGGGTTTTGTGTCTCGCTCCGACTGGTGGTGCTGGTGTCCCGCAGCCAGCCTTGGTACCCGAGCTTTGGGGTACCGCCAGCCAGACGAAGCATGCCGTCCTTTTCACTGCAGAGTGCTGTTTGGCGCAACGGGATTGTGGCCAGGTGTGCAACGCCACATCTGGGCCCAACTGAGTACTGTGCGTGTGTGCGTGCGTGTGTCCTGCACGTTTGCCAGGCACCCCGCCTCAGGGGGGAGGAGCGCTGCACACTCTTCTGCGGCACAGGGCTGCAGCTTCGCCTCAGCCCACAATGTTTCCTAGGGTCCGAGCACATCTCCTGGACTGACGGTGCTGGTTACGCAGCCAGCCCTTGAACCCGAGCTTTGGGGTTCCGTCAGCCAGGCGACAACCCCACGGGGGCCTCTGAGCACGGGGGTGGACTTGGGTTGCCAGTCCGCCCCGACAGCCACACCAGGCCCCAGCACCGCCTTCAGCGTCGGCAGCGCACTGCCGTCTCAGCGGCACCCATGGCCGCTGTGGAGAACAACTGGTGGCCCAGTGCCACGAAGTTTCGGGTCAGGGTCGGGTCGGCAAACCTTAGCCTCCCCATTAGCCAAGTGATGGTCCTCCTCCTGTTTCTCATCCTACTCCTACTCCTCCACCACCTCCTCCTCCTCCTCCTCCTGCTCCTCCTCCTCTTCCAACCACACTCCCTTCGATCGATATGCCTCCAGCGGTACCACTGGGATGCCACTTTAGCCATGAAGCATCCGACACATATCCGTAGCACCAGGGATCCACGCCCACAGGGATCCACATGACGCTCGTGAGACCACGTCGGCACTACTTGGATCATACCGATTGCACCAACGCAAACACCATACAATACCCATATGTCTTCGCTTCGGAACCCACAACCCAGGCACGAGCAACCTCGTAATTGAGTCGAAGGGAAGCCCCTTCCCTTTGATCCCTCCCCCGCCGGGAGGGGGGGGGGGGGGGGGGCCCCCCCCCCGGGTCAGATACGACCCCCCCCCCTGGGACTCCTCTTCCCCTGGGCTCCAGGCAAGCCGACCTTGAGCAACCTCGTAATTGAGTCGAAGGGAAAACCCCTTCCCTTTGATCCCTCCCCCGCCGGGAGGGGGGGGGGGGTGTCGACCCCCCCCCCGGGTCAGATACGACGCCCCCCCCTGGGACTCCTCTTCCCCTGGGCTCCAGCCAAGCCGACCTTGAGCAACCTCGTAATTGAGTCGAAGGGAAGCCCCTTCCCTTTGATCCCTCCCCCGCCGGGAGGGGGGGGGGGGTGTCGACCCCCCCCCCGGGTCAGATACGACGCCCCCCCCTGGGACTCCTCTTCCCCTGGGCTCCAGCCAAGCCGACCTTGAGCAACCTCGTAATTGAGTCGAAGGGAAGCCCCTTCCCTTTGATCCCTCCCCCGCCGGGAGGGGGGGGGGGGTGTCGACCCCCCCCCCGGGTCAGATACGACGCCCCCCCCTGGGACTCCTCTTCCCCTGGGCTCCAGCCAAGCCGACCTTGAGCAACCTCGTAATTGAGTCGAAGGGAAGCCCCTTCCCTTTGATCCCTCCCCCGCCGGGAGGGGGGGGGGGGTCGACCCCCCCCCCGGGTCAGATACGACGCCCCCCCCTGGGACTCCTCTTCCCCTGGGCTCCAGCCAAGCCGACCTTGAGCAACCTCGTAATTGAGTCGAAGGGAAGCCCCTTCCCTTTGATCCCTCCCCCGCCGGGAGGGGGGGGGGGGTGTCGACCCCCCCCCCGGGTCAGATACGACGCCCCCCCCTGGGACTCCTCTTCCCCTGGGCTCCAGCCAAGCCGACCTTGAGCAACCTCGTAATCTCTTGCTGCGCATTGCGAACAGGGTCGGCGGCACCGGCCGTCAGGCCTTCGCAATACCCATATGTCTTCGCTTCGGAACCCACAACCCAGGCACGAAGGATACTAGATATCGGGCAGTCTGTCAGATGCTATAGCATGAAGCCACATGACGCCGCGCACCATGCCTGAGTTCACGCCCAAGCAGAACATGACACCCAAGACAAGCATCGACCCAGACGCCTGCATGCATCCTCAGAGCCCCGAACCCCTACCTGGGACCTACAACTCGTGCTGTACCTACATACACCTGGTCCCACACCTACGCCGCTTGTGGACGCGATCCAAAATCAATGTTGGACGCTCCTGGGCTTCACGTGGACCACAAAACAAAACCCAAACCGGCCCCAAACCGGCTCGATGTTCAATGGGAGCCGAAGGAGTTACGGCCCAACGCGGAAGTGATGTCGCTTCGGCCGTTAAACGCCCGCCTGAGCCGCATGGGTCCTTGCCTGACTCCTTTTAGGCAGCGTTCGGGCCGTTTTGGGTTGATCTTCAGCAGCGTTCGGGCTATTTCTGGCCTCCTGGTGTGGGTAATACACAAGGGACCAGAGAGCCAACGTCAATATCACTGATCCGTCGGAACTGATGATGGGACGACGACCAAACGGTAAATCTACGATCAGTCCGCCTCGCGGCATGTCTGACCCTAACAGGCTATGGGTTGGGAACCACAATGGAGCGAAGGCAGAAACAACGAAACACACCTACGGGGGTCTTGCATGATGTTCTGCACATGCCCATGCGGCCGTGGAGCCGTCCTCGCCTCGACCGGCGAGAACTGGAGTGGGCGGGCGGTGAACGCGAAGCGTCTTGAACAGACTGGGCCCTGGATATCCAAAAATACCTACTCTCACCGACCAGCGTGCAATCTGGCCAGTTCGGCGGGCTCATCCTGGGTCCACTCGCCGGCCGAGATGGGCCCCGCCGTCGAGCGGGCTCAGGAGGGGAACCGGGGGCGTCCAGGATGGGGGCGTCCAGGAGCGAGGTTCGCCAATCAAGGCCCGAGGCATGTGCGCGAACGACGGGGAGGGGGCAAGGGAATGCGTTGAAAGAAGAAGAAGAAGAAGCAGAAGCAGAAGAAGAAGAAGAGG